AGAGAGTATCTCATATTATCCCCAATTATACTACGCTCTACATCAGTTGGTATTCAGAGACCAGCAGCGATCCACGATGCCGCCAAAACGAAACGACAACATTGTTGAAGAACGATTCCAAAGGATGGAAGATCGTATTCAAGGGATGGATGATCATTTCACCGACATCAACACCGGGATCGAGGAATTGCAGCAGGCTATGCGTACCATGATGACGGAGGTTCGTACAAACCGCGACACCGACGATCGGGGTGCACGCGGTGGGTTACGCGGAGGTAGGGGAGGGCGCGGCGGCGGGGCGCCCCGCCGGCGGCAATCACTGCCTCCATCCGACGATGAAGAGGATGACGAGACACTGAGCATGGAGAATCCGTTTGCGAGGGAGGACCTCCGCGGCCATCACGAGCGTCATCATCAGTAGTTCGTGGGCGGCGGAGAGAGGTCGTGCTTCGATTTAAGGGGATCCCAGAGGATAGGCAGGTTAATTTGGTCGCTACTCGTTTTCGGGGTAGGGCGGCAACATGGTGGATGTAACTCACGAGCATGCGGCATCGTATGGGCAAGCCAGAATTAACTTCTTGGATGAAGTTTCGTAAATATGTGGAGCGTGAGTTCGTGCCTTATAACTACGATAGTCTTGTATATCAGCAATTACAGAATTTGCGCCAGGGTTCTCGCTCGGTGGATGAGTACACTTCTAAGTTTTATCGTCTCTTGACCCGTGTTGAGTTACGCTAGACGAAAAATCAGTTGGTGTCCCGTTATGTCGGTGGGCTACGTTCTTCACTGCGGGACACGTTGAACCTCTTTCGTCTGGATTCAGTTTCGGATGCTCACCAACGGGCTATCCTTGATGAGGTTCAGCAGGCACAAAAGTCGGGTCCCACATTCAGTTCGACTTCTCGCCCGGGGGTGCGATGGGCGCTGCGGCGTTTCAGCCACGGCCTTTGGTCACGGCGGGTGGCGGTACAGCCCCAGGGGCAGTCGCGGTTCGTAATACGGGGGCTGGCGGGCCTTACCAGCGGCCAGCAGGAGGTGGCGGACAACAACTCACACCGGCGGCGTCACGTGCGGTTGCGAGTCTCCGTTGTTTCGGGTGCGGCGAAGTGGGCCATCGGCAGGTGGTATGTCCGAAGGGTACGGCCCCACGGGCATTGTTCACTGACGAGGTGGGGGACTTTATTCCCGGCGAGGGTTATGCGGGACCCACTGTGTTCGACGAAGAGCGGGGAGAGATTGAGGAATATGTGGCCGGAGATGTGGGTACAACTCTGGTCCTTCGTCGTTCTTGTTTGATCCCACGAGGGTCGTCTGATACACCCGCAGAGAGGCACCATCTGTTCGAGTCTACGTGCACAGTAGGGACCAAAGTGTGTCGTTTTATTTTTGACTCGGGCTCTTCTGAGAATGTCATCACCCAGGAGGCAGTCGACAAGTTGCAGCTGTCTACTGAGCCCCATCCTCATCCCTACACGCTTGCATGGATTCAGAAAGGGACGGCGGTTACCGTTGACCGCCGGGCACTTGTTTCATTCTCTGTTGGTTCTACTTACCGGGACCAGTTGTGGTGCGATGTGGTTCCTATGGATGCTTGCCATTTGTTATTGGGTCGCCCGTGGCAGTATGATCGGGCGGCGACCCATGACGGTCGCCTCAACACTTATTCATTTGTTTTTGGTGGAGTGAAGATTATTTTGTTACCATCCGTGCCTCGCCCTACGCCATCCCCGAGTCCCACATCCCCGGTTCTTGTGCTCTCGCGGTCGGCTTTTTTGTCGGCAGTGCGCGATGTCCCATTGGTATTGTTGCTTGTTGGGGTTGACACAGGTGAGGAGGCTGCACCACCGGCTGCCATTCGTCCTCTTTTGTCAGAGTTTGTTGATGTGTTCCCCGAGGATCTCCCTTCGGGTTTACCTCCACTTCGCAACATCCAGCACCACATCGATTTAGTTCCTGGGGCGGCTTTGCCTAATCGCCCGCACTACAGGATGAGCCCGGCAGAACATGAGGAGTTACGACGACAGGTTGAGGAGCTCCTCCAGCGTGGTGTGGTTCGCCGGAGCCTGAGCCATTGCGCGGTGCCGGCCCTTCTCATTTCGAAGAAGGACCATACTTGGAGGATGTGTGTGGACAGTCGGGCCATCAATAAAATCACCGTTCGGTACCGGTTTCCTATTCCTCGGCTGGATGACTTGTTGGATCAGCTCCACGGTGCTACTATTTTCACGAAGTTGGATCTCCGTAGCGGGTATCATCAGATTCGGATTCGCCCGGGAGACGAGTGGAAGACGGCGTTCAAGATTCGCGAGGGGCTTTTCGAGTGGTTGGTGATGCCCTTCGGTTTGTCTAATGCCCCGAGCACCTTTATGCGGGTGATGAACCAGGCACTTCGGGATTTTATCGGCAAGAGTGTTGTCGTTTATTTCGACGATATTCTTGTCTACAGCAGGACACTGGAGGAGCACTTGTAGCATGTTCGTGAGGTCTTGTTGGTGCTGCGTGCTGAGTCCTTTTATGCCGCTCCTCGTAAGTGTTTCTTTTTGGTCGATTCGGTTTTGTTCTTGGGCTTTGTGATTTCGGCCCAGGGTATTCGTGTGGATGACGGCAAGGTGGCTGCTATCCGTGATTGGCCTTCCCCCACGACTTTCACGGAGGCTCGGAGTTTTCATGGCCTGGCTTCGTTCTACCGTCGTTTCATTTCCCACTTTAGCACGGTTACGGCTCCTATTACTGATTGCCTTCATGGCAAGTCTTTTGTTTGGACTCCTGAGGCCGAGGCCGCCTTCGGTCTGATCAAGAGCAAATTGACTTCGGCCCCACTGCTCGTCTTGCCGGATTTTTCGCGGCCGTTTGAGCTCTCTTGTGACGCTTCGAAGGTTGGGATTGGGGCTGTTCTGAGTCAGGACGGACGTCCGGTTTCATTTTTTAGTGAGAAGTTGTCGGGCCCGAGGTCGCGATACAGCACTTATGACGTGGAGTTTTATGCTATTGTTCGTGCAGTCCGGCATTGGCGCCATTACCTGTTTCATCGTGAGTTCATCTTGTACACTGATCATGAGGCTTTGCGCCATCTGGCATCCCAGGATAATATTTCGGCTCGGCATGCCTCGTGGACCGCTTTTCTACAGCAGTTTACCTTTGTCTTGCGGCATCGGTCAGGGGCTTCGAACAGAGTGGCTGATGCTTTGAGCCGCCGGGCTCTTTTATTGACGGACATGCGCGTCTCGGTTGTGGGGTTCGATGTGTTGAAGGAGCTTTATGTTGATGATCCATTTTTTGGGCCTATTGTTCAGCAGCTCGCGGTTGGTCCGGTTGATGATTATTGCTTGACTGATGGGTTTTTGTTTCGGGGTGTGCGGCTTTGTATTCCGGACTGTAGTATGCGTGTGCGGCTTATTAGCGAGTTACATGGCGCGGGCCACGTTGGCCGGGATCGTTCGGTTCTGTTGGTTGCCCGCTCTTATTTTTGGCCTTCGCTCCGTCGAGATGTGGGCCGGTTTGTTGAGCGTTGTCGTGTCTGTCACGTTTCGAAGGGTGTTGCGTCGAACGCCGGGCTTTATCGCCCCCTTCCTATCCCTTCGCAGCCGTGGAGTGCGATTAGCATGGATTTTGTGCTGGGCTTACCTCGTACTCAGCGGGGTTTTGACTCCATTTTTGTGGTCGTTGACAGATTTTCGAAGATGGTTCATTTTATCCCGTGCAAGCGGACCACTGATGCGGTGCATGTGGCACAGCTGTTCTTTCGTGAGGTTTACCGTCTCCATGGCCTCCCTTCTTCGATTGTGTCGGATCGTGACACTCGCTTTCTCAGCCACTTTTGGCGTAGCTTGTGGCGAATGGCGAACACTCGCTTGGACTTTAGTAGCGCATACCACCCGCAGACTGACGGCCAGACGGAGGTGGTGAATCGTTCTCTGGGCAATTTGCTCTGGTGCTTGGTGGGCGACAATCTGCGCAGTTGGGACCAACGTTTGAGCCAGGCTGAATTTGCTCACAATTCAGCTGTTAGTCGGGCCACGGGCCTCTCACCGTTTGAGACTGTTTATGCTATCCAGCCCCGTGGACCGTCGGATTTGGTGGCGCTGCCGCCTCTGCAGGGGGGTGATCGTCGGGCTGCCGACCTTGTCGCCGATCTCCAGGCGACTCATGCGGCGGCGAGGGCCCAGCTGGAGGCCACGACCGAGGCCTACAAGCGTCGCGCCGATTCCAAGCGTCGCCATGTCGAGTTTTCAGTTGGTGATTTTGTTTGGGCCGTGTTGACGAAGGATCGGTTTTCGGCGCACGAGTTTAATAAATTGTCGGCCCGCAAGATTGGTCCGGTGGAGATCGTTGAGAAGATCAATCCGAATGCGTATCGCCTCCGTCTTCCTTCGCATCTTCGTACGTCGGACGTGTTCAATGTGAAGCATTTGGTTCCTTTTGTGGGCGACAACTCCGATGACGACGAGACCGGTTCGGATTCGAGGCCGAATCCTCCTCAACCGGGGGAGGATGATGAAGACGAGACCGCGATCGCGTATTTGAATAAATACGACCGACTCCGGGTTTAATTATTTATTTCACATCATTATTAGTACTCTTTTGATTTTTATTTCCTTTATTTGCTTTATTAAGTATGGTAGGAAAATAAAAGACTTGCAGTGTTTTGGCAAGTGTAGGATTCTTATTTTATTCTCCTTTGGTATTTATACTGAAAGAAACGATGAGAAGGACAGATGATTGATGAATAAAGTTTTCTGATTGTTCGTTCTTGAGAGAGTATCTCATATTATCCCAAATTGTACTACGCTCTACATAAAAAATGCAATCACTAATCAAGAAACCTTGCTAATATAACCTCTTACTTAAATCCTCTCCCCTTTTAACTCAGACCCATCTCCCGAGAACCCCCAAAAACTCACCAAGATCCATTTTTTTTTACAGCCCCAAAAAAGAAAAAAAAAACTAAAATTAAAGAAACAACCATGTTTTGATTCGAAATAAAGAAAAAAATCCCACAAATGTGTTTGCCCAGATCCAGAAAACCCCCTGAATTAGGCCTCCTCATCCTCACCATTCTCATCCTGACCCACTCTTCCCAACCCGCCCCGTCCTACACAACCCTAGTCTACAAAGGCTGCGCCAAACAGCCCCTATCAAATCCCTACCCCCAAACCCTTGCCTCCCTCTTCGCCTCCCTCACGCCCCAATCCTCCAAATCCAGATTCGCCAAGGCCTCCTCCGCCGCACTCACCGGCCTCTTCCAGTGCCGCGGCGACCTCTCCCCCGCAGACTGCCACGCCTGCGTCGTCACCATCCCGCCGATGATGGACAAGCTCTGCGGGAGGGTAATCGCCGCCAGAATTCAGCTATTGGGCTGCTACATGCTCTACGAGGCCGCGGGGTTCGCCCAGATATCGGGAATGGCGATGCTCTACAAGAGCTGCAGCAGGAAGACCGCCGGCGCCGGGGCTGGGTTTGAGGAGAAGAGGGACACTGCCCTGAGTGCGCTCGAGAACGGCGTTGGCGGCGGCGCGGGGTTTTTCACGACGAGCTTTGGGGACGTGTACGCGCTGGGGCAGTGCGAGGGCGATGTGGGGGCGGCGGACTGTGCGGAGTGCGTGAGGAGTGCGGTGCAGAGGGCGCAGGTGGAGTGTGGGGGAGCCGTTGGGGGCCAGATTTATCTGCACAGATGCTTTATTGGGTATAGTTATTATGCCAATGGCCTGCCTAAAAGGGGCTCGCCTTCATCTCCTTCCTCCTATTCTTCAGGTAGTACATTTGCTTTATTCCAATTTTTCACTTAAATTGTCTTTAAAAAAATTAATTGTTTTATTTTGTTATTACTATTTTGGTTTTCCTTTTGATTTATTCCATTTAAGTGCTATTATTATTATTATTATTGGCATTGCCTGAACGGTGGATTTTGATTTGTAAGCTGTCATTTCATTTTATTTAATTGGATTAATTGATAAATATTATACATTCAGCTTTGTCTAATTAGAAAGATTACTTTGATATGTTTTGAGTTTATGATAAATAATTTCCCCATTAAGGCATCTCTTGTTTAATTGTTCCCTACCTTTTCTAACTGAGGAGAAGTATATAAGAGAATATAATAAAGCTCTTCTTTGAAAAAAAAAAAAAAAAAA